CTTCAGTAAGAATGAGTCGGACTTGGGAGTGCCATGCTTTCTGACTCATGAAAAGACTGTTTTAGGGCCAGAGGGATGGCTCAGTGGTTAAGAGAACTTGTTGCTCTTGCAGAGGACCTGGGTTCTAGCACCCACATGATGGCTCAACAGCTGTTTGCAGCTCCACTCCCAGGGAGAGCTGATGCCCTCTTCTGACCACCACAGGCACCAGGCATTCTTGTGGGACACTTACGTGCATGCAGGCAGAACACTCATTCAGTGAGATAAAATAAATAAATCAAAAAAAAATTGTTTTTTTTTTTTTTGATTTTAAGTGGAGACATAATAGCAAGGTAAGCGGAGGAGGAGGGCAGTTTCCTTGTGGGCTCTGTCCTGTGACACTTCAAAGACCTAGAGGGGTCTTTCTCTCCCTTCCCTCGCCCCCTCCCTCCCTTCCTTTCCAAAATCAGAAGTAAACAGGAAGATGCTCAGATCACCTGGGAGAAAGCTGGAATACTGAAAGGGAAGCAGGCCCCGAAGAGGCTATAAGAGAACCAATGAGATTAAAACACCTTCCTGGGAATTTAGGAATAGGACAAAATTTCTATATATGAGAAGAAGAAAATATCTCAAACAACAACAATAAAATGACAAGATGGCTTGTTTCTTGTCTAGCATGTGTGGGACCATGAGTTCAATACCCCCAGCCCCCCCTACACACTGTAGGGGAGAAAGGGAAAGAACAGGTAATGCTACCAATATTCCCTACAGCATGGACAGTCCGTCACACTAAGCCTGAGGTACTGTCTGTGTATCAAGCACTCAGCAAAGAAGAATCCGAAGAGCCAGAAAACGAATGGATGGGTTCCTCAAGACAGGGTGGAAGTGAAGGAAGGAAAATGAGGTGATGGACAGGTTCTAAAGCTCAGCTGTGGTGTTGGTGACTCAGCTCTATAAATTAGCCAAACGTCTTTAACTTTACCCCCAGAATGGGTGGATTGTATGGAGAAGGGAGGTACAGACATCCCCTCACCCCCGGGATGAGATGGCAGCAGAGGCAGGTGTGGCTCTGTGGAAGACTGTGTGGTGGTAGGCTGGGCCTGTCCTGGGTTTCACTACCCCTTGTTGGGCCTTTAGGAGGCTCTTCATTTTCAGAGCTGGAGAGGAGACCCCTTCATCAGCCTTCACAACAGATGCAGCATCCTTAGTCAAGCCCTGCCCCGCCTGGCCTCAGGCTGCCGTGGGGATGCCTGCACCCACAGGAGCCCCCTCTAGTGGTCACATTTAGAAAGCAAAGAAAAGCAGTTCGTCATAGGATTTCACTTATCTTGGTGTACCCCAACTAGTACCACTGCCATGAAGCTAACACAACAAATCTTTTGTGGCATTCAGGCTCAAAACTGGGGCCTTTTGCATTCCTCTCAAGTGCTCTACCACTGAGCCACATCCCTGACCCCTTCAGTATTACAATTATTTGATCAATCAATCAATGTGTGTATTAGAAAGGGAATGTCTTATATTAGTTTACACAATCCAGGTGGAATAGTCCAACAATGGCTGTCTGCTGCCATGATGATGCTCTTGTACCCTGTAAAGATTGGTCACTTGTATTGGTTTAATAAAATGCTGATTGGTCAGTAGCCAGGCAGGAAGTATAGGTGGGGCAACCAGACTAGAAGATTTCTGGGTTGAGGAAACACTCAGTCTGCAGTCGCCACCCAGATGCAGAGGAAGCAAGATGAACATGCTGCTCTGAGAAAAGGTACCAAGCCATGTGACTAAACATAGAAAAGAATTATGAGTTAATTTAAGTTGTAAAAGCTAGTTAATAATAAGCCTGAGGTAATAGGCAAAACAGTTTATAATTAATATAAGCCTCTGTATGTTTCTTTGGAACTGAACGGCCAGGTAGGACGGAAATTTCCATCTACAGTCTGCATACTGGAGGGGCTGAGAACTAGTAGCTGGTGATCCATAAGGCTGAATCCTCAACAATTCAACCTGATGCTAAGGGCTGGGAACATTTCTCAAGAGTCGCTGGCCTTCAGTCCACAGAAGTCTGAAGGAAAGGATGGCAGCAACCATGTCCTCAACAGAGTAGATACACTTTCAAGAAAGGACTGAAGTGGGCAGGCAAAAATAGCCCATTTATTTATGGAGACAAGGCCTCACATTGTTGCTAAGGGTGGCCTAGAACTTACTTTATAACCCAGTGCTCTAGAACTTCTGGGATTACAGGCATGAGCCACCATGTCTGGTTCAATAAAATAATAATATAATTATTTGTGTGTATATATTTTATATGTGTATGAGTACACATGTGTGTGTGTGTGTGTAGTAGTAGTAGTAGTTTCTCCTTGGTTGCCAGCCTGCAAATCATGACACGGAGACTTCTTATTAATTATGAAAGCTCAGCCTTAGCTTAGGCTTGTCCCACTAGCTCTCATAACTTAAATTAACCCATTTATACTAATCTACGTCCTGCCACATGGCTTGTTAACCTAATGTTTTCCTACTGTCTTTGCTGCTTTCTCTGCATTTAGCTGGCGATTCTGCCTTCATCCCAAAGCTCTCCTTGTTGGGAAGTCCTGCCTATACCTCCTGGCTTGCTATTATTTGGTTTATTCATTTGATTTTTTTGTGAATGTTTTGCCTACATGTATGTATGTACATACACTGCATGCATGCTTGGTGTCCATGGAGGTCAGAGTTCCAGGTGGTTGTGAGACACCATGTGGGTAATGGAAGTTGAACCTCAGTCCTCTGTGAGAGCAACAGATGCTGTTGTTGGCTGAGCCATCTCTCTAGCCCTTAGGTGACTTAGTGACTTAGTGTATTCTACTGGGTTCAGAACATGTGTGTCTGAGCGATGTTCCCATCCTCACTAGGTGACCTATGAACTGCATGAACTTGGACTCAGCTCCTAATCTCACAGACCTCAGTGGGTCCTGGGGATTGAACTCAGGTCATTGGGCTTGGTGGCAAATGCCTTTTCTCACCAGCCAGAGACCTCTGTCTCTAAGAAAATAAATACAATGTGATACAGATTGTCCTTTAAAAGTTATTTCCCGACTACCTACTGTGTGCTAGGCCTTGTTCCATATTCCTGGCTGTGTCCATGAACCTCATATTCCAGGTAGCGGCCGCCTCATCAGCTCTTGAAAGAATTCACAGGACATGCACAAGATGTGCACACGGCCCAGCCTGGCCCCCAGGGGCTGCTGCTTCATCTTTTTTCTCTCCTCCTCTATGGTGTGTCTCCCATGACAACCAAGATAAACATGTTCCCATAAAGGAGGGGGCCTGTGAATCCTTGAACGCGCTGGCGAGAGTAAAGACAGAGGGCTGGCTGGGCGGAGAAGGGCCTCTGAGTGCACAGTCTCAGGGTCAAGTCAACCATGAAATTAGCAAGGAGTTCATTTGACTTCCTTCCATTCAGACCTCTGTGGCTGGGCTTCATGTCTGCTGAGATAAATGTCTCCCATGGGGTTACCCTGTGTCTTCAAGGGAAGCGTTCCTTTTTTGAGTCACTATTTTCAATGCTAAACAGAATAATGCAGGATTCTGTTGCTGACCCAGCCCTGATAGTCCCTGCATTAGAGGTCCCCCCTCTCCTCCAGATCAAGAGCATAAATGAGCTCTTCTACAGAGGACCAAGCACAGCTTGGCTCCCTCCACCTGCCCTATTGCCAGCACTCCTGGGAAAGAGACGGAGGCAGGGCACACAAATCTTTTCTAAGTGGCTCTGCCCTGCCCCCACCCGTTGCACCCATCTCTGATCATTGTGCCCAGCTTCAGGCTCTGACCAGATAGTGGGCATTGCTCCTACTTCACATCCAGATAGAGCCCTTAGCTTCCACCTTCCTAAATAGGCAACTGAACAATCCCATCCATATGGAACAGCCCCAGACATGGAGGCAAGCAGTTGACCTTGTGGAAACAGCCAAGAAGGTCACTTCCAGTGGTTAGTTTCTGCAGGTCTCCAGATGTGCTGATTAACTTCCTCCTGCGAGAGGGTGATGAAGTTGGTAGGGTCTGATCCACCCTGCCTGATATCCCAGCAACCTGCCCTGGCTACTGCATCCCCACCCTTCCCCTGACACTCCCTGCCTCTGCACCTTGAGACTTGTTCTTTCTAGTTGCTTTCATGGGAGCATAGTACACTTCTCCTCCTTTCAACAGAAGTGGAAGGCACTTTGTACAAACACGGTCCGGTCAAGGCGTGCTGATGGAACAAATGCCCCACACTTCAGCGGCTTATGACCTGCAGGAATAATGCTTGCCACACCCAAAGTTTCCTATAACAGTCTCAGCTCAGCACAAGTCTGCAGTATCAGAGGCTCAGGGTGAAGCTGCAGGCCACACCCGGAGCCAGCGGGGCTTGTGGGAACGGGAGGAGAGCAATGGGTGACAACACTGTCTCCCTCTGCTCTGCCCTGAGAAGGAAGAGGCCACCTCTCCTTGATTCTCTTTGGCCAAAGCAAGCTCATTATCACCATCTGTCATAGGTACAATGTAGGTTCTGATGGGGAGGGGCAGCTAGAGGAAACCCAGAGCCAACTGTGCCATCCACAGCAGGTCATTCTCGGATAAAAACCACTTCATTATGCAGGTGTAGACACAGATCAGGGGCCTGGTGAGCAACCATCCACTCCAGCACGGAGAGAACCAGAGTGATCTGGAATGTAGCAGTAATTGCAGCTCTAAGGCGGGGGCAGAGGGACACAGGCTGCTTAGGGGAACTGCTGGAAGGCAGAAGAACTCAGGAGACAGTGAGACTGGTCGGGAGGGCGGGTACCCACAGGAAAGGTGACCAAGGGAGGGGGCGGTGTGACCAGACGGGGGAGTGAAGTAGCTCCAAGAGGCGAGGATGACCACAGTGTCTACTGGGCCAGTCTTACCATATGTCCACAGCAGCCATTAGCCTGCCTCGAGCCACCACCCCATCTTGCTTAGGGTAGAGCAGATTCGGTGTTGGCGGGACCTGTCCTCCTTATTCTCACTTTCTGTCCATGATCCAGGCCTCCCAGAAGGCAGCCCAGCCGCTCATGTGAAGAATCAGCTTCTCAAGGCCAGAGGCTTTCTTCACAGTGCTTCCTGGACCCAGGGGACTGAGCACTTCTCCCACTTGCTGTAGAGAATGAACTTCCGCCTTTCCCCAGATACCAGCTCAGGACGCTCAGGAAGGACAAGGCCCATCCTCAACCCAGACATGGCACCTAGGCCCTCAAGCCCCCAAGTGGGAGAGTAAGCTCACACTGTTGTTCTTTCTGGGGATATCTGTGGCTCTGGGGGCTCTCAGAGACCCTGGGTTCACCAAGAAGGTAGGGTGTAGGGCGGCCTCAGCTGGAGCAGCAGGTCTGTTATAAGATCATCAGCTGGAGGGGGCTGCTACAGTACCAAGCACAGCTTGGCCTTCATCCCATGGCCCCCCTAGCATCACTTCCTGACTCTACGAACAGGAAGAAGCATGCTGAGCCCTCAGGACGTCACAGGGGTTGGCCAACACTTTGTGTGTATCACAGGGTATAAGTAGAATGAGCACTGGACTCAGAGCCACGGGTCTTAAATTCAAGCCCGGCCTCTGCTGTTCATGACTCTTTGTCTCTGGGGAACCGACTCAGATGAGGGGCCGTGACATTGGGTGGAACTACCCTCATCACACAGGGGAGTGACAGGAAGTCATCACGTCACATTCCCTACACTGGGTCCTGACTGAATGTGTCGCCCTCCTGTTTCAGGAAGGAACATGTGGCTCTCCGTAGACATCACAGGCTACAGTCCTAGAGGAACGCCATCTGATGGGCTTGTCCTTCCTTGACCTACGGACCCCAGCAACCCCTCGGCAGACCACTGAAGGACAGTGAAGAAGCAGGAGTGCTCAGCAGTCTTGGGAGTGCTCCCCAACCCTTCCTGATTCCAGTGAGACAGGAAAGCACATCTGGCCCTCCTGAGGGGCTGGGAAGAGTCAAGAGACAGTACAGGCTCCTCACAAGCCTGCTCTGTGCTCCTGCACACAAAAGATCTGGACACCGGCGTCTTAGAGTTAGCAAGTGAGCATCAGGCTGGGTGTGGTAGTGGAGGCAAAAGGATCATGAATTCAAGACCAAGCCGGGCCACACAGTGAGACCCTGCCTCAAAACTCTATTGTGTTACAAATAAATCACACACACTCACAAACAAGCAACAAGCAATGATATAAAATGACTCTCTCTCACACGCACACACACACACACACACACACACACACACACACACTGTGTGAATTTGCTTTTCTGTTACTGTAATAAGATGCCTGATGGAAGCAACTTAAAGGAGAAAGCACTTATTTAGCTCTCAGTTCCAGGCACAGAACGCAACGGCAGAGAGGGAGGGCAAGGCTGCAGGAACCTGAAGCTGGTCACATGACATTCACAGTCAGTATCCAAGAGAAGTTCATCAAATGCATGCCTACTGGGCTCATCTAGCCTTCTCTTTTCGTATACAGGTCAGGGTCTGCTGCCCAGGGAAGGGTGCCACCCATAGTAGGGAGGTCTTCCCATTAAGCAAGATCCCCTCACCCCCTGCCCTGCCCCCACCTCCAGTTATGCCACAGGCCAACCTAATCCAGATAATCCCTCATTGAGACACTCTGCCCAGGAAGTTCTATGTTGTGTGAAGTAGATAATTAACACACACACACACACACACACACACACACACACACACACACACACACTGATGTTAGGGAAGTGAAACATGCTGGGCAGTGGTGCTGCACGCCTTGGGAGGCAGAGGCAGGCAGATCTCTGTGAGTTTGAGGCCAGCCTGGTCTACCAGAGCTAGTTTCAGGACAGGCACCAAAGCTACACAGAGAACCCCTATTTTGAAAGTCAAAATCAATAAAGAAATGCACAAATTATGGGGCTGGAGAGATGGCTCAGTGGTTAAGAGAACTGGCTGCTCTTCCAGAGGTCCTGAGTTCAATTCCCAGCAACCACATGGTGGCTCACAACCATCTGTATTGAGATATGGCACCCTCCTCTGGCATGCGGGCATACATGGAGGCAGAATGTTGTATACATAATAAATAAATAAATCTAAAAAAAAAAGGAAGTGCAACTTGCCTTTGGGGAAAGACAAAGTGACCAGTTTTTAAGCCCCATGCAGACACTCTGTTCACCTGTGTTCATGCTTCCCAGAGAGTGGGAGGAACAAGGACAGAGTTGAAGGGGAACAGGGAGGAGTGAAGTAAGGTCATTTTATTTCAATTAAAAGCATATAAAGACAATCAATTAAATTTTACAAAACTATGACAAGTCAGGCTTGGTGGCACACGCTTTTAATCTTATTGATAAGCTCTTTTTCTTGATTATTATTGTTACATGCATATATGTAAATGTGTGCAAAACTATGTAAATACGACATGCTGAGTGCATTTTTGTTGTTAGTGTGTAAATGGTTTCAGGGCTGACCACGATCTATTGAACAACCAATAAGAAGGCTCGTGCCTGGGAGAAGCTACCTCTCCTCCCAGCAATCATTGGTTGCCTGTAGTTTTGTCTAGGAGTGGGACTCCATGAAAAGTTTTCTCTTCCAGTCTTATCTGTGCTCCCATTTCTAGGAAAGACTGTTTCACAGCGTACTTCCTGGTACTCTGGCTTTTACAGTCTTTCAGCCCCTGCTTCCACAGTGTTCCTATGTATTGCAGGAGCTATGATACATAGACACATCCATTAGGACCGAGCTCTCTGCATGGGGGTTTTCTGTGATGGTCTCTAGTTGCTGCATGTATCTGTGGGCATAAGGATACGATTTAGGATGCAGTAAGGAATGCATCCCTACACTTAGGAAATAGCAAGGAATTGCATCCTTACACTTTGCTGGCATAGCAAAGTGGCGATAGTAGGTGCTTTCCTAAGGCCCCGGGAAGCTAGGGAATCTAAATAGACTAGAGAGTTCTAAATAGAATAAATAACAATAGTTAAGAAATACCTCAAAAAGTGTTCATCATTCTTTGCAATTAGAAAAATATAAATTAGAACAATTTTGACATTTCATCTCATCTCAGCCAGAGTAGCTGAGACCAACAGAACAGCTGGCAACCAGTGCTGGTGAAACTATGAGGAAAGGGGCCTCATTCCCTGTTGGTGGGAGGGGCCTCATTCCCTGTTGGTGGGAGGGGACCTCATTCCCTGTCGGTGGGAGGGGACTTCATACCCTGTTGGTGGGAGGGGGCCTCATTCCCTATTGGAGGGAGGGGACCTCATTCCCTGTGGTGGGAGTGACCTCATTCATTGGTGGGATTTCAAATTGGTGCAGTCATTCTGGCAATCAATAAGGAGAATACTCAAAAAATAAATCTCTCCAGCTATACTATTCCTTGGGCATATGCCCAAAGGACTTCACTTCCTACATCACAGATACTTGCTTAGCCATGTTCATAGCTGCTCTTTTCACAGTGGTCAAGAAATGGAAACAACCTAAATGTCCTTCAGCAGATGGATGGAAATGTGGTGCTCGCACACTAGGGAATACTATTCAGCTAAAGAAAAATGAAATCATGAAATCTGTGGGCAAATGGATGGAGCTGGAAAAGATTACACTGTGTGAGGTGACCCAGACCCAGAAAGAGAGGCTGAACGTTCTCACTCACCTGCAGGTCCTCAGATGTGAGTCTACATGGTGCAACCACAGAAACCAGAAGAATATAAAGGGACCATAAGTGGGGTTGGGCTGGGGCCCTGGGAGGAGTTGGGCCTAAGAGGGAAGGGAATAGCAGTATGAAGATGTTGTGAAGTGGGAAATGGGAAAATGGGAGGGAGCTCCAACTAGAGAGGGGGGAGAAAGTCAACACAGGAAAGGAGGGAGGAGGAGCATCAAGACTGTCTAATAAAACCACAAGGAACATACTATTTCATATATCTACCTAAAATAATACATAATGCATATACATACACACACACACACAGTTAAGCTAGTTAGACTAACAGTGCTCCTCTCAAGAACCATAGAGTAATTTATCTATTTGATGTGTATAGGTGTTTTGCCTGCATGTATGTCTGTGTACAGTCTTCACACCTGATATCTGTATTAGCCAGAAGAGGTTGCCAGATCTCCTGAAAGTAGAGTTACAGATGATTGTGAGCTGCCATGTGGGTGCTGGGACTTGAACCAGCATTCTCTGTAATAGCAGTCAGTGCTCTTAACCGCTGAGCCATCTCTCTAGTCCCAAATTTCCAAGGTTTGGAAAATTACATTGACTTTGTTTGGCGCTGTGAGATAGCTGTTTACTTAGGATATTGCAAACGTCGCCAGTCAGTGTAGTATCTCTTCTTCCAGGGCTGGAGATTGAATTCAGGTCTCATGCATGCAAGGCAAACACTCTACCAGCTGAGCTGTGGCTTCCAGTTTTTAAACGAGCCATTTTGTTTGTTTTGAGTCGGTCTCATTATGCAGTCCAGGCTATCTTGTGATTCACTTTGTATATCAGGCTGGCCTCAAACACTCACAGAGTTCCAGGGTACTGTGCTGGGATTAAAGGTGTGCACCATCACCCCTGGTCACTTTTTAAGAAGCTCCTAAATGTAGTGGCCCGTTTCAGGACACTGTTCTCTTCCAAAGTGAGTACATTTTTATGTATTTTTGCATATTGTTTAAATTACAGTAGTTTATCATGTCTGTTGTTAATTAAGCTTCTTCTTTGGCGGTTCCATATGTTTATATGATGCATTCTGATTACACTAACTCCTCTTTTATTTCCATTCCACCCTGTCAACCTCCCCTCCTCTCTACAGATCTCTTTCTCATATTCTCACCTTTTATTTTCTCACCCGCTGAGTGTGACCAGGGCCATCAGTGTGAACATGGGTTTGGGACTATCCACTGGAGACCAGTGAGTTCCTCAGTGGGTACGCAACAGAAGATACTGATCCCCACCATATCTATTCATAGCCGATAGTTCTGCAAGGAAGACTGGGACCCCACTGTCTCCCCCATGCACACCTGACTGTTGACAAAGCCAGTCTTGCTGAGGCCCTGGCAGCTTCTGTGAGCTCAGTATTGCAATGACTGTCATACCCTGAAGGTGGCACGTGGCAGGCCCTCTCTCTGTCTTCTGGCTCTTAGGATATTCTGTGCCTCTTTTGTGATGTGGTTTATCATATATTTCGTGTGTCACTGAGTTCTTATCTCACCCTTCTTCTTTTTGATGTCGGCCTTTACTAGTCTCACACATTTTCACCTTCACGTATTAACCTGTCAGTTACACAGGGAAACTTCTATTTGATGATATTGATGTTGAAGTTGATGAAACTGGAAAGGTTGACATTTGTATCATATTTAATTCTCCAATCAAGGAACACAACCTATTTGTTTTATTTATTCATACAGCTTCCAGTAAAATGCATATGAGTGATGTGTACTCTTATCTGTGTAGATCCTGCCCCATTTTGTTGGATTTACCCCAGTCATGGTGTTGAGTTACTGTCATGATTGACACCTGTCTTTGCATATTAGGACTCACCATAGCTGATAGCTGCGAGGTTTGCTGCAGGCAGGCAGCCCCTTAATGGATTTGATTTGTTTTGTTTTGTGACCTAGTTTTTCTTTAGGTTGTTAGTTCAATTTTCTAGACAGAGAGTTCCATTGTTTGACAGCGTTTCAGGGTAAATCCCAACTTCCCTTCATTTCCTAACCTGTCATTTCTGTCTGCTGTGACTTTCTCATTTGTTTGGAGTATTTTGTGTAATTAAAAATAGATTTTACTTTAAAACACCATTTTTTTATGAGCAGGAAATTACCCACAGAGGTTTTAAACCCCACTCTCAGAGTTAGCACTTTGTGTGTGTGTGTGTTTGTGTGTGTGTGTGATCCTGGGGACCAAATAGAGAGTTTTGAGTAGACTAGGCAAGCACTCTACTGAGCTACAACCCAGCCTTTAGTCCAAACTTTTCTTTTGGTTTTGAAATGGGATCTTGCTATGTGACCCAGGCTGTCTCCCACTCACAGTCTCCATCAGTCTCCCGAGAGCTGAGATTACATGTGTGCACCTCCAAGGTGGTTTTGTTGTTGTTTTCAGTGTTAGAATTAAACTCAGTTTAGCAGTCCACTGAAAAGCTACATCCTACTCCCAAACCAGACAATCTTTGAAAGTTCTTCAGGCAGCTTTGTTACTGACACATAGTGTGTCTGTAGCCTGGCTGGACTGGAAGTCAGCAGTGGCTCAAGGCTCCCTCTCCCAGCCAGTGTCCTGCTCAGCCTCCTGGGAGCTAGGATTACAGGCATCAGCCTTTGGGCTTTCCAGGTAACTTTGATGGTCTTTCAGTTGAGGTCCTGACTTGAGGTTGATGGGCACTGTCAGGTTGTAGTTTTGTTTCTTTCCACTTCTTTGGGAATGCTGGGAACTTCTCTTGCAGATGTCCTGACTTCAGCCTTCCATGGTGTATGCATTAGGTTTTTTTTTTTTTCCTCCAGTGAGGTTTCCCTTTCTCCTTCAGCTCCATTTCTGACTTGCTATCTCAGCCTTCACCTGTAATCCAGGCTCTGAAGCTTCTGGGGTCTCTGCACTTGGCAGGGTCCTTCTCTTGCCGCAAGGTATGTTGTCAGGGACCAGCCTCAACAAAATACCTCTTGCCAGAGTAGAGGCGTGGGGATTTAGAAATATAGTAAAGAATATGAAGACATAAATGAAAATAATAAAACAGAGAAACATAGAATAGTATCGGGAGGGAATT